ATCTAAGTAAATCTAGTAAGTAAGTAAGTAACTTTGTTTTACAGTCGTGATGTTTAAGATTATTAACCACCCGGGACAAGTCGATCCGACAGGTTGAATGATACGCAGGACGCCAAAGGAGGTAAGCGCAAGTACGGTACAGAAACTGAAGTAAGTTGGGCTCTCTTAGTTTTCTGTATGCTTACACATCATCACGTCATACTGGATTTAATTTAGTTTCTTATTCTAATACTGCTAATCTGTGTCAGTGGCCAGTGAAAATGTCACAAGGGAAAATTCCAATATATACAAAATATACAATTTGTATATATGGTATATCCAAAAATATACAATTTTGTATATATGGTATATCCAAAAATATACAATTTTGTATATATGGATAGATTTTACCACTGTTTACTCAGTTCCTTTTTACTGGATTCTCACAATACAGTCAAGTCTCGTTAATCCGACACTCGTTAATCCGACACTCGGCTTTATCCGACACAAATGATGGGAACCGATTGATTCAGTGCTATTTAGTCCCGTTAATCCGACAGTCTCGCACTCCGACTCCGACACACCTAAACCGTATGTGGTTGATATTGAAAATATTACTGATAATACCGGACAGTATTATTGCATGTGACAAATATACTTTAAAACTATGTTCATTATGACAACTATATTTGGAGTGTTATGAAATAATTGGCATTTATTCATGTTGACAGCATTTTACATAATAAAGAAATAGAAGATTTCAGCAGACTTTTGTAAGTGTTAGATATATAATACGTCCGCCTACTGTTTACAAATAAGATTATCTATACATGCAAGTAGTTCAGAGTAGTTTTAAACAGTGACGGTAAAATAAATTTATCGTGAATAGCGGCAAATATGAATATATACAATTTAATATATATGTTTCTGTTATGTCATGGTATGTTGATTCTGAATCTAAAATATTGCTTGATATTGTTTGCCAAACAGTTGTATGCACTGTCCATCGTGATACTTCTACTTAAGTAAATAAAAAAGGATGTTTGTTTAGACATGCGTTCATTGTAAACAACGCCGTGTTTTCGTTTGCTGGTTAGCTTTTACAGGTCAAAAGCAAAGTTAATCGCATTACTTTCGTGACGCATTTTAGGCCTGTCATACAGTTCCTGAAACAAATATATCCAATACAGCCGATGCAAGTCAATCATATTTGGCAAGACTAGATTACTGCAGTTATATATTTTATCAATATAATCAAACAATTGTTTTTATTTTTGTAAAATATGTTCATTTCAGAAACTAGATGTTAGTCTAGCCAGCGGTCTAAACTCGCATTAATTTGGTTACACGTTTCATGATTTACAGTATTCGTGAAGAATATGTAACAATTAGCCACAATTAGAACCTTTGGTAGGAGTAGAGGGAATGATAAGCATAGACTTGCTAAGTATTTTATGATATTCATGATAGCTCAAAAGAAACTTTGATTTATGTTTGTAGTACACCCCAAAAAGAGGGATAACACAAGTGATATATTAAGATGACATACAACTTATACATACTTACGTGTATAAACTACTATCAAACAGTGAGGATAACATGTGTTTGCATAAAGGTGAGCATATCCTGCACCACCGGTGGAACAAACACACGCAAAGGCAAGTTAGTTGTTAAACCCGAAAAACACGGAAACGATTAGCACAAGTCAAAACAGATAATTTCATCGGACATAACTCCATTTGCTACTTCGAATTCTGTGGTAGTCACCAATCAACCCATTTATACTTCCAAAAATAGCTTTAACCCTTTTAAAGCTTTTGAGAAATTCAACAGTATGGGTTTGGTCTGACAAAGCAAGAAGCACAAATGGGGCATGTTTCGGCCAAAGATTATAGAATTCTTGCAAGTCGAAGGGTCCAACAGGAGTTATTTCTGCGACATGCTATTTCAAAACCCAAAATTCAGAGGGATATATATGAAAAGAAAAATTGAAATAATACAAATATAAATTCCTTCCAGGTGAAGGCTATCACTTGAAATCAAATTAACAAAGCAGATTTTAGTCAATGACACATCTCTTGGAGTAGAAGTTCATCTCTGTCACCATGCTATGGTATTTCTGGAAAGAAAAGTTAACTTACAAAGTTGTAATATACGTGAAAGGCTTAATGTTGCTGATTAAGCGCAAAGATATAAACTCTAACTGACTGCTCAGTAATATTCATGTAATATTAGTAATATTCAAATAAGTGTACTTGTTCTAGGTGTGTCTGACGTGGATACATATATCTAAGCGTATAGAAGAAACGTCAACAAACTTGTAACTATGTATAAAATAATAAATAAGCCATGTCCTTCATATGTAACTGATCTTATACCACCAGCTGTGTCACAGAAGGTCAGTTATAATCTCAGAAACCGCCATGATTTTGTAGTTCCATTTGCACGGACATCTACGTTTAAAAGGTCTTATATTATAGATACATTAGGCCAATGGAATAATCTATCATCAGGAATCAGGGATAGTCCGTCAATGTCTTATTTTAAAGCTGTCGCATCTGAGCAGCCTACATCACCACCTATGCACTATAATTGCGGTGAGAGATCTACAAACATATTGCACACTAGATTGAGACACAATTGTAGCACACTAAATTCCAACCTGTTTCTTGTTAATTATCTGACACTATTTCCTGTAAATGCGGAGCTCCTTGTGCAAATACATTCCATTTCTTCTTCCAATGTACCTTATATGATGATATTAGGGAGACATTACTGACAGCTATCGATAATCTTGGAGGACAAAACACTCTAAATAGTTTTCTTATTTGTGATCCAAACTTAGATGTTTTCCTGAATACAAAAATATTCTTGTCTGTACACAAATTTATAGAAACGACTAACAGATTCAGTAGCTAGCATATTATTGTTTCCAAACTGTTAATCATTAATATTGTTAAATCTATATACAACACTAACATGTATAATATTAGCATATGTATGAGATCATGTATGCACAATCCCTTTGTCTTTTTGGACAATACAATATGTTTAATAATTGTTTTGTGTACAGATACGACGGCGAGGTTGGGGCAACCTGACACACATAAGTTATTCATGTGTGAAAAATGTTGTCGAGGCATCTGTAAACGGCTAAAGAAATGCAAATGTAGCCTAGTTTAGACTATGCACTTGCTTTGTGTACAGATGTGACGGCGAGGTAAGGGCAACCTGATACACATGAGCATTAATAACCATGTTTACCTGTACTTGTAGTTGACGGATACGAACGAACTAGCACTTGTTTGGCAGATAGGTTTTGTTAAGATTTGTTATCTTGTTCTCTCTCTACCCTCTACTTCCTTAATCACAATTTAAATCCTAAATAGACTTTCGGGCCTAACACTGTGGCAATTTTAGACCCTCTCTTTCTGTATTTACTTGAGCTCATTTCCCCTAAGGTTAACACATCTCATAAGACTAAGTCATCAATGATGTCAAAGCTGTCTGACATGTTTCTTATGAACAGTTTATGGAGCTAAATAATGTCCAAGTGACTTAAGCACAAAAATACGCAAACACTTCTGACATAGAATTTCTTTAGAAAATACAGTGAAAATGCTTCACTTTGAACCCTTGTTTTTTTTAAATACGATAAATTGTGACATAATAAAGTGGTATATAGGTAGATATAGCACTAATCTATAGATGTTAACACATTTGAAGATACATCTGTGTGTTTAAAGTTGATTTTGATCGCCCGGGCCAAGTCGGGCCCAACACAAGACAAACACTTCTGATAGAGACTATGTTGAGAATGTAGAGGGAAAAGGGCTTCACTTTGAGCCCCTTGTTTTCTTTAAGTACAGCGTTCTGAGACACTATAAAGTGGTATTTAGGTAGATATAATACTAATCTAAAGATATGAATCCATTTGATGATACATCTGTGAGGTTTAAGTTGATTTTGACAGCCCGGGCCAAGTCGGACCGAACACTTCTGACAGAAAATACAGTAAAAATGCTTCACTTTGAGCACCTTGTTTTCTTTAAGTACAGTGATCTGAGACACTATAAAGTGGTATTTAGGTAGATATTATACTAGTTTATATATGTGAATCCATTTGATGATACATATGTGAGTTTAAAGTTGATTTTGACAGCCCTGGCCAAGTCGGACCGAACACTTGTGTGACTGTTGAGAGTATAGGGAGAAGAGGTCTACTTTAACCAACGTGTCTGCTTTAAATACGACGATCAGTGACATTATAAAGTGGTATTTACTTATATATAAAACGTTCCTATAAATTGTATACACTATGCTCACAGATGGAAATTTGTATCATGATAGCTAGAAGTATTTGATACGTTTCAAATCTTACTTCTTTTAACGATTGCTCTTTTACATGTTACCAAGATGAGCGACGCTTACACACTGCTCCACTTTCTGGTTTTCAAACGTTTCACTCCGAATTACTTATTTATGGTGCACTTTTTTGTTTGGTGATTGTTCATTAATGTCATGTGTGTATGTTGCATCAATTATATGTAGGTATGATCGCCGATAATGAAGTAATTAGCCAGTAACACTTTGGCCCGTCTTGGCCCGGCCCGACTTTTAGGCAATGCCAGAATTCAGGCGTCCGTTCCACAACATGATCGTAGCGCTAAGGTGATCGCCACTCACCTACTTTAACTGAGACGAACGACTGTCATTGCGCTACCACAACTTGGTCACATAGTTTGCATGCATTCCGCCGTCGTATGGTAGGAGTGCCGCGTAGGGCAACAAATACATATTTGTTATGCTTACCCTTTTCGCGAGCACCATGTGATACAGTCATATCATTTTCACCGCTATTTTGCCTTTTAAGCCCAAATCTGTGTCTGTGGACGTGGTTATTATCTGGCGCTCACGTTATTCAAAAACATCATGTGTGTACTGCATAAGCCACAGTCTTAACCGCAACTATTATAAATTCTATTTACGACTCGAGTGGAATATAGACAAACATGCCATACCTGTAATCCATGAATCGGCAGAGAGATGAGGGGAGGAGATTTATCCACTGGGTAGAGAAAAGTTCCTTTTCTACTTTCTGTCTGGACCTCTGAATTCTCTACCACGGACATGTCAGGTGATGACACACTGTCCTCCATGTTCTGTGGTAAAGTGATATCTGTCCTATCCAGCTCAGGTTTCGTTTCTTTGACTAAAGCTCTGGTTTGAATGACTGTTGAAGCTGTATTGAATGAGATCACCAAACTGCCCTGTCATTGTGTTTACAGGCGTAACGAATAAATTATTATGAGCTGACTGAGCTGTTATTGATGGAAGAGGGAGACATGAGGCAGACAACAAGAAATATAAACAGAAAGCCGCTTTGGATTAAATTGGACGCAGTGTGCATGGGGGCGAGGATTTGAAAGGGCAACAAAACACTGGCTAGGCGAAAACATTGTCGACCGACACATTGTCGACCCTTTGTGTGCACCACAAAGGGGGCGGCGGCATATAATAGGTATATTTGCGTCAATCCACACACTTGTTATCGTGCTGTGCACACATTATATATATAATTTCAATGAATTATATATTGTTCATGCACCAATGCTGGATAGTACTGGCACTGCAATACGTTACTAAACTCCATTCCAATCCTTCGTATACAGCATTTAACACCGGTTTTAATCCTCCTTATCAGACTATGTATTCTAAAAAGCCTAGCTCATTTCCTCCATTTGGTATCCGTATCCAACAACACATTACAGATGATGATCTAAATATTTCTTCCATTTTAAACTGCCTGAAGATCCACCGTGGCAGTCAATACAGCCTGACGGCAATTTGGAATAAACGAAATTGAAAAGGGCAGACACTAACTCCTTATCATATCAACAAGACTTCCTAGAAAATAAACATCAATACATACAAACATCAATACATACTAGCATATACGACGATTGACCCCAAAATAGTGATATGGTGTCAGCTGCACCTGTTACACATGATGGTACTCTATCATTACAATCAACTGATGGAAGTTTCATTTCACATATGTTGGACATTTTGTATCAGCAAATGTGGAATAGGCAAGTATTCCACACAACCCTTGACTGATTCAAATGCCCTTACTGGATTAAGTCGTCAGGGTGAGAGTTGTGATCCGAAGGTGTCACATAGGACATTTTACTCATTCTTTTTTATTGAAAGGGAAGGATCATGCTCAATGTATTCCTTGTCATAGGCCTTTGTCATAATCCTATGACTATCAAGCACCTTTTGTTGGAATGTGTGGATTTTGCACTAATTCGTCAACGTTTTTATACTTTTCAAACTATTTTTGAACTTTCAATGCAGTTTCTAACCACTTACGTTTAGCATATTTGAAAGAAATTAAACTGTACGATTAAATGTAGATCTTCTGTTTTAAAGGTCAGTTTTCACTGTTTTCTGTGAGAATGGACTGAAGTTTTAGTGATCTTCGTCATCATTTTTATGATTTTGGTTTTGAAGCTGCAAATAGCTTGAAAATAAAGCAACAATTATGTGTACAAGTATTGTTCCCCTGAGAGGATATGTAAGACCACTTCATTAAGAGTACCTTTATTACTACCACAGTTTTAAAACGTAGTATATTGTCTTTTTTATTGATGGCTAAATTGTGTATCATCCAGCAGCTGAAGGGATGGTGTCATTCGTGCTGGGGAACCTTGCAAGTAGTAGAAAGCCCTAGTGTGCTGGCCTAACTTCGGTTGCTGGTGATCAGCAGCACGTTTTTTATAATGTCTTGTTATATACAGCGATATCTTCATATGGTAACCTACTAGATTTATAGACCGCCTCCATGGTCCGACCGTGGACCGGAGAGCGGAAGGTCCGGGGTTCGATACCGGGCGCATCATACCAAAAGACATTAAAAGATGGTACTTGTTGTTACCCTGTCTGGTGCTCCGTATTAAGGGGCTAAAACAAGGACTAGTCAGTATACTGTGTCTGAGTGGGGTATTCATGTTAAACTGCGGCATGGTATCTCAGTGTGCTATAAATCGGCATCAGTCCGGACTAGTACAAGCAGCCACACACACACAGACACACACACACACAGACACAGACACACACACACACACACACACACACACACACACACACACACACACACACACACACACACACACACACACACACACACACACACACACACACACACAGACGTTATAACGTTATAAGGTTAATGAAGTCATAAGAGCAAAGGGTATAAGCAGATGTGAAATCAAAGAAACGTGGACCCAATATTTCAAATGTTAGAAACAAATGATAATCTTGTGTTAGTAGCGGTAATATGAGCATATAACATCTATTCAAATACATGCCCTTGATATCTGGAATGATACATAACTTTCTTAAGCCAGAAAACATTTGAAAATTCACTAATTTACAAATGTTTCCCCACCTATGTAAATGTTCATATTTCAAACCCTAGTACACTTATATGTATCTATGTCTGCAACAGGTGTTCGACTTATTAACCTAGCTAACTCATGGTTTGATAATCGGTGGCTGGACAGGGCGTGTCAGCTTAATGTGGGAGGAAAGCCCGAAGTGATGCAGGTCTCAGACGTTTTACCACTTCGGTGAAACCCATTAGCACGGGTATGGTGCTGACAAACCTAGAAACATAATCGGGGCGAACTGGGATTCGAACCCACAATCATAGGTTCCTGGCATGTCCAAGGGACGCAACTCTGCACAGCGAATCGCGGCGTCTGAGACGACTGGGCCACCCGTGCCCCCTCTTTAAAAAGTCACACTGTTAACTTGTGTATAAAAACAACTCCTTTCAGAGGTAACGTGCTTCTGGTTCTTTCCTTCAAAGTAAGACACTGCGTAATGAGATATAAAATTGAACACACTTTAGAAACATATCATTACTCTTTACATTAATCAATATGGCTATTACACACTATCTGCGAAAAAAATAATAATTTCTCTAACAGCTTAGGCCTAGTTTATATCCCCAGAGTCCTAAACATGTAATAGCATCGTCTAAAGTATCGTGTATCTGGTTGTCTGAGCACACGTATCCAGTACATTGATAGTTTACGTAAACTTGGTGCCTTCCGCATTCTGCTAAAATTGCCTTATTTGGTGACCGGTAGCCGACGCCAAGAGCACATTTACAAAAATTTGCATGAATTTCTCACTACTGTGGCGACATAAGGATCTCCAAAGTTCTGAGCTGTACGTCAGTATTTGCTGTATTTTACCATCAGATATCCTAAACAGCGATTCAACAGGTATATATTTCTAAATTTACTAATAAACTGCTTAGCTGAATACATTGCTTTATCTGCTTGCCTTGAAAGTACTTCACATGCTTTTGTAAATAGATTTCGACATGAATTTGTTAAGCCAAGATATTTGTAGTTTTTTTATACTACTTCTAGTCTTTCTGGACCAAAGAACCATTTCTCATGTTTAGATACTCTTACCATACATATTATTCAAAACTTCAGAACAGAAACAGTCGCAATCGAACATGTGCAAATGCTGTGAACTGTTTCAAGATTTACATTGAGGTACTGGCAAACTCTGAGCTGCTCTTAATATTGTTGATTAACATGTGAAACAACGGACACTATACATGTTATGTGAACTTAAGAATACAATCTGTAAAATTCTGGTAAACTACCATATAACATACAATTAAAATTGTCTTCCCTGCTTGGGTCGGTTTGGGCGGCAGCCTAGACATCCATAGAATAGACACCTTCATTTCGGAATGTGACATGTAATCTGTTAGCAATAAGAGTGAGTGAGTGAGTGAGTTGGATTTAACGCCACTTTTAACAGTATTCCAGTTATATCGCGGCGTGTCAGCTTCATGTGGGAGGAAAGCCCGAAGTGATGCAGGTCTCAGACGTTTTACCACTTCGGTGAAACCCACGAGCACGGGTATGGTGCTGACAAACCTAGAAACATAATCGGGGCGAACCGGGATTCGAACCCACAATCATAGGTTTCTGGTGTGACCAAGGGACGCAACTCTGCACAGCGAATCGCGGCGCCTTTGACGACTGGGCCACCCGTGTTAGCAATAAGAGAACATATTCGACTACATTATGATATCACGCAGATCACTGGATAAGGTTTGAGGTAAGTGGCTTTTGCTGCTGTGAAAGGGGAATCCAGAGTCAATGTGCTCAGGTCACATAACAATTAGAGGGCGAGGAAAACTAAAAGCATATAAATAAACATAGTTTCCTCATTGGTAAGCATTATCAAAAAACAATAACTGTGTACGTTCTCTGGCAAAAGATACCAACCTTCTAAAGAAAAGTAAATATGAAAACAATTAACGAAGTCATTTAAAAGAAGTGTTAAGTAAATTATCAAACTGTGTAAGGTTACATAAACCTCTTCAGATGTCGCAGAATCTAAGCTTCTTTAGTGGGTAATATTATAAACTACTAAGATATCTATCATACGGTGTGTTACATCAAGTATGTGCTGTAAATATTACATGAAATCGCGAATGCACAGTTTGGCAAATTTGAGAAAGGTATTTTAAAAACAGAAAATGATAGAAAAATAGATAAAAAAAAAATCATTATTATTTATTGTGGGTAGATCATATGGCAGACGGGGTGGGGAGGTACTTAAAGTAGAAAAGAAAACTGTATCGCTGCTATTGAAACTTGTGCTTCCTGAAGGTAGCAGCAGCTGTCCCACTAGACCGTGGCCGCTGCTGGGCATTACCACCAAGGGATAGATGTACAGGGGGGCCTACGAGAAAGCCCTGCAGTATGGTGATATACCACATTTAAAACATAATTAATAGTTGATTACTCACATAATAGTTGGTGGTTATATTTAACTGCAAAATTATGTTGCATTATTTTGAGTAAAACTATTACCATTATCATTACCTTATTTAATGCGAAATGCGTGCTGCAACTTCCAGCAGTTGCGGTGTGTTACATCAAGTATGTGCTGTAAATATTCCATGAAATCGCGAATGCACAGTTTGGCAAATTTGAGAAAGGTATTTTAAAAAATGCATACATAGAACAGTAATACTTAGCACTTCCACTGAGAACCAGAGCACTGCGACAAACTCCGGCCTATAATCTAACACGCGAGATCTTACCAATGAAAGCTGAGAAATAGAAATACGGGAAGAGGCTGTTACTTGACTGACAATGTCAATAAAAGAAAAGGGATGAACTTCATTACATCATTCTCGCAGTAAA